CTTAATTATAACTTTCTTTCTTCAGAGACTGTTCTTACTCCACAAATACTCGAGTGCTGAAGTGTAAGAAAACGTTGTCCTTATATTCCTTAACTAATGGATTATTAATAAAACCCTAAAAAACCTCACACGCACAACAGAAAACCAGTGGAATTTGTCTCCTGAGTCCATCTTGCTCTGAGGAAGAGTTTTGCTGTGGAAGGCTGATCCTGCCCCAATGCTTGTGTATCTCTGCAGCCTGACTAGAGCTGTGCCTTGTGGTGTGAGAGGGACCGCATGTGCATTTGCTTACATCTCCAATCGCCTCATGCTTACCCGAGGAACTCATGATGGATCTGAGCAAGACCTTGCAGCTGAGAGCCCTGAGGCTACGTGGCAGAGTGCCTGTGATGTTGTGCTGGGTCACAGTGAGAAGATGGCATAGGTTTCACCACCTCTCTGCAGCCCATACCTGACTGATGCAGGACTTGTTCATCTGTGTGAGCTGAGAGAGATCACTGATGGAAAGAGTGGAGGCAAATGCCCCAGAACCAGTGTCAGGTCTGCTAACTGGAGGTTATATTGCAGCTACAGTGCTTGCTGGTGGGAGCAGGACTGGGGATTCATGCTCACTTCAGTGCCTGAGCTTGTAACCATGGAGGCTGGGAGTGTTATGGTGGTGAGTGCTTTCTTCCTTAGACATCACTCTGCTGGGATTTCAGGCACAGTTTGGGGTCAGCAGGTCTTTCTTGATGCTTGCTCATTTCTCAGCTATTGAGCTGATTCCTATTAAAACAAACAAACAAACAAAACAAACCCAAACCCTCCAGTTTTATCCATTACATTATTGAGGAATTTTATTTGGAAAATAAGCAGAAGCATCTAGCAAACAAATGGTGAGACCTCTCTTAGACAATGCACTAAATTAAACACTTAGTGGCTTGTGTCCAGCCAGATTGGTGAGAAGATGCCTGGCAGTGCCTGAGGAACGTTATTAACCTCCCGTGCATCTCCCTTTCTTCCTAGGATGCATTCCCTACTTGAGTAGATAGCTTCCATTATTGCTTTATGCTTCCAGGACTACAGGACCATAAAATCTCATTTTATCTGCATTACAGTGGTAATAAATCTGCACTTAGCATAGTGTTCTCTGATGGTGGTTGAAGGGAACTCTGTCAAACTGTAACTCCGATGAGTCTTTCTCTTAATGACAGGTAATGAGCGAGGAAGGACCTTTGTGGGGGGTTGACTGCTTGTCCCACTTCTCAGTGTGATGCTGCTGAGTGGGACAACTGGAAACAAGACAGCAACTGAGTTAACAGCAGAGGGATTCACAGACAGAGCAGTTACAGGGGAACTGGGATTACAGAGGAGTGAAGGTAAGAGCAAGGCATCTGTCTGCCTTTCATTCTTTTATCACCCCTGTATCCAGTGCTGTGATGCAGCTGGCAATCACTGCACTGAGCTCAAAGCTCTGGTCAGCTCAGTCGGTAAGCAGCCGGTATAGAACGCTGCCCAGCACAGCCTGGTGGGAAGTGGCACAATGAGGCAAAGGGCTGTGGTGCAGGGAGGTGGCTTGGGATGATGCTCCACAGCTGCACGCACCCCATACTACACTCTGCACTGCAAGCAATGTGTTATAAAGCAGTTATAAAGCCTCTCCCAGGCTTTCCAAACAGCAGCATGCCTCCATGCAGTATTTTACAGCCATGCCCCAGGGAGAGAGGTCTGACCAAGGACATACAGCAACACCATGTCATCACCCCTCTGTCACACAGCCTGGGCTGATCCCAGCCACAGCCCTGAGCACGGATAGCAGAGTTTTCATGCTGAAAAGCAGCTTCCAGGAGCACTTCCCAGGAGCGGCAGAGCTCAGTACCTCCAGATGGGTGCCCTGATTTTGGCTCTCCTATGACACAGATCACAAAACAGACATCAAAACCCCACCTATATTTATGGAAGCGAAAAGCTCCCAGACTGTTAGCAGACAGGGAAACCACAGTTACACAGAGAATAATAAATGGAGTTAATTCAGACAGGTTAATCTCCCGCTTCGTTCCCTGAAATTACTAATGGTGTCTTGGGGACCTCAGTCTGCAATTAATTGGTGTAAATCAGGAGCACTTCTGGCACTGATAGAAGTTCACTGAGCAGGCGGTGAGCTGAGCCCTTTGAGCTGCTTCTCATGGAGGATAACTTGGGTAACTTCTGAGGGGGACAACAGACAGATGGTGCTCGGACCCCTCTACACGAGGGACCGTTTTTCAGATTTCTGCTCACAGCGTGATAAACAAATTCCTGGGTCCAACACTACAAAACTTTTTAAGCCCTCATAGTTACAGAAGAGCACAGAAAAACATGAGTGCTCCAGATGCTGTCCTCAAGTAACTCTAAGAAAGGCTGCAAACTTGCATTTTTCTTTGAAAATCTCATTGCTTTGAACATGAGTCCCATTGTTGGGCACACTTGGGATTTCTAAATGTGACACCAGTGGTGTCACCCATGTCAGCTGCAAGATGTGGGCTGCACTGAGTCATGCCCTCAAAGAGATGGCTGCCTGGCCCCAGTCCTGTGTCCTGCCACTGCCACCCTTGCCATCACCTACGCACAGGAGCAAAAGCATCCAAAATCAGGCTTCTGGGGGAAAGAAGCACTGCAAAACACACTGTGGCGGGTTGGGGTTTTTTTTTTTTTTTGGTTTGTTTGTTTCTTTTGTTTTTTTTTCCCTTAGAATTACTGATTCTGACAAGAAATCCTTGGGGCTGGTCAGACTCTGGAGATGTTTACCACACTGGTAGCGTCCCTGGAGCTGCTATGAGCCTGTAGTAGCTGTGAGTGATAGAGAAATGCCCGCATGGTGGCAGCCAGGGAGACGGCTGGGGAGCAGGAAGCAGGAGCAGAGTTTGTGCAAAAGGTCAGCAACGGTGCAGGAATTCAGATGTTCCTGAGGGGCCAACAGGGCCAGTTCAGCCCAGAGCAAATTCTTCCCCACTGAAAGCAACTTCTTACAGATCAGTTCTACTCTAAATGAGCAAACCTTTAATGTGGAGCAGATGCAGTGACGTCTCCTTTCCATGCTAACCGGCTCCACCGCATCAGAGCGCACCATCCAGGGAGCTGTCTCTATCCATTGCCTGTCTTTACAACGTGTTCTCACCAGTTTCTGACCCAGGCAGGATTAGTAACCTGTTTTGGTGCAAAGAATTAGACTTAAGATCTAATTCTGTTGTTTTTCTTTTTTTTCCTGTTGTCTGCCCCCTCTGCCCTCAGACAAACACACAAAAGACTTTGAGCGGTCACTGAAGAGATGACTTCACTAACAATGATTATGATGAGTGGAAGTTGTGTTTGCAGAGAGGGGCAGAGTATTGGGCAGCACCAGTGGGAGGACTGGTAGCACTGGAACAGGCTGCCCAGGGAGGTGGTGGAGTCTCCTTCCCTGGAGATGTTCAAGACTGCCTGGATGCCTACCTGTGCGACCTGCTGTAGGGAACCTGCTTCAGCAGGGGGGTTGGACTCGATGATCTCTGGAGGTCCCTTCCAACCCCTACAATTCTGTGATTCTGTGTCAGCAAGGTACTGTTCTGGCATTAGGGCTGAGAGCTGGGCAGGGGTGTTACCCCATTTAGTGACATAAGCTGGGACGTTATCTTCAGGCTGCTGTAGGATTTGGGCACCTCATCCCCTGCTGAGTCCTTCCTCGCTGGGTTGTTCATCGAATACAAGAGCACCTTCAAAGGCAGTATGGCTGTATGACTCACCCAGCTAAGTTACATCATGGTGCTTAGAATAAGGAGCGCTGGGCTGGGACAAGCCAAGCTGCTTCTTTGTCATGCCTGTCCTCTGTGCCTCCCCACATTTGGGATCTCTTCCCAGCTGCCACCCTGCAACCCCACTGCCCCGCTCTCTGCAGATGCACTTCCAGGCACTGACAACCAACTCAGTGGGCAGTTTGGGTTTCCAAGATAGCCTGAGAATGAAACCCACGACAGAGCAGTCTGAAGCTGCTCCATCTCAACAGCGCCTTTTCTCTTTGCAGCCCAGTTTAATGCCAGGTTTGTGGTTACCATCCCTGTAGGCGGGTAAGAGGCAGCTCCCAGGTGCGGGCACAGCTGAGGCACTCACTGGGAGCCACTGCAGCCGTGGGGCCAAGAGCTCTGAGCTCACCGTGCGCTGCAGGCCTGGGCACCATTTCCAACACAGGGACTGAGCACCGATGGGTGCAGCGAGGGGCCAGGCCTGAGGCAGCCACGATGAGAGCACCCCCTACATCCCCTAAACCCTATGGTTTACTCTGTGGTAGCAACGGTAACGAAAAGATGGTTGGACTAGATGATCTGACAGGTCGTTTTCAACCTTGTGATTCTACGATCGCATGGGCTGCCCCAGCCAACCGCCACCTGTGGGGGAACAGCGGCGAGGGAAGAGCAGTCAGGAGACCAGGGAGGGGAAGACGGTGAGAGGACATCATGAGGGAATGCCGCTCAGAGGAAAGCCGTGAGGCAGCTGCGGCGAAGAGACCGAGCAGCAGCGAAGGGAGACCGGAGAGGACAGATGCCTCGGCGGTGATCCACGGGGCAGCTCGGGCGAGGAAGACCCCTCACAGGAGAACGGCGGTGGGAGACCCCCGAGGCGGCTCTGCCGAGGGAACACCGGCAAAGCACAGCCCCGAGGGCCGGCGCGGCGCCCACGCGATAGGCGCGCGGCCCCTGACGGAGCGCGGCGCGGCGGGCAGACACGCAAGATGGCGCAAGGCGCTGCCCGCCCCCGCCGGCCCCGCTCCCTCAGCACCGCCCCCCGCCCGCCCGGCGCGGCGGCGTGCTCGCTCGGAGGGGAGCTGCGCTGAAATCCGCTTTTTGCTTTCTTCAGCCCCGTTTTTGGTTGTTTGGTGTTTTTTTTTTTTTTTTTAGTTTTTCTTTCTCTCTTTCTTCTCTCCACTGGAGGGTGGCTCTCGCCTCTCTCCTCTTCCTCCTGGGCCGCTCCCTCTCGGTGGGGCGCGGGGAGCCGAGCCGCCCGCCCGGGATGCCATGGCCCCGCGGGGCTCCGCGCTGCCCGCCCGCCTGCTGGGGCTGCTGCTGCTCTGCTGCGGAGGTAAGGGCGTGGGGAGCGGCGGGACCTGCAGCCGTCGCCGCTTTCTGTCCGTCGGTCGGTTCCTCACCCCCCTTCATTGAATGGGCTCAGCCCCCGCTCCGCGCTCCGTTCTGGGACCCCCCGCCTCTCCCGGTCCCTTCCCTGCCTGCGGCCACCGCCGCTCCGTCGGGCTCCCGTTGGGCTGAGCGGGGCCCGGCGCCGCCCGCGGTACCGTCCGTACGTGGGATGGAAGGACGGGGCCGTGGGGCTGAGATTTTGGGGCTGCCGGACGGAGCGGCCCCCGACCCGCTGGGGACCCGGCCGCATTGAGCGCTGCGCCCGGCCGAAGCCGCGGCTGCAGGCATGAGACCGAGCGGTGCTTCGGCGGCAGTTAGAGCGGCACGCGTCGATCTGAACCCCGCGGTGCCGTGCCCGTGCTTCCCCGGCTCGGCGTGCAGCCCGTGCACCGCGCAGAGCTGCCTGCACGCAGCGCACGGGACGCTTCCCGCTGACACGACGCGGGGCTCGCGCTGTGCCGCGCTGCTGCGGAGCGGTGCTGCCGCGCCTCCCGTGCCCTCTTTCTGCTCAGCAGCCGCGTAAAGCAATGCGGAAACTGCTTGAGACAGCCCGGTGCGGGCAGAGGGAGCGGAGGGTGCGGGAGATCGGCTTGCGATGCGGGGCGTCCTGAGATGGGCTGCGGGCTGTTCCCGGCGCAGACTTCGCCACGTGGTTCGCAGCGGTTCGTGCTGGGAAACGGGAGCAACCTGCGGGGGATGCGAGGGGATGTGAAGGCATGGGTTCTGCCGCACTGCTGGGGTTGGCTGCAAATGTACCTCTTTTTTAAGGGGGGGAGAAAAGGAGAAAATCGTTGAAAGCAAAACCTTACTGAGCTGGGTTTGCCCGGTTCTTTGCCTGTCGCTGTCTGCTGTCTTCTTGTCCCGTGTTGCGTTCTGTTGCGGTTCGGTCGGGCAGCCCCTGGGCTGCGCGCTGTCCGGTTCTAAAGGACCAACACGGACGCTTGGCTCTGCATGAGAAGTTTTGCAGCGCTGAGGTTTCCCCCCACCCTCGCTGTGTTTAGCAGTGAGGTACCGCTGCGTCCCAAACAGCCTCCTGCGGCCGGGGCAGAAGGGACGGATGGGGACGATGAGCGCAGGTGCTGGCCGGTGTGCTTCGCCCTTCCCGCCCGCTTGGCTGCCGTTCGCGCGGCTCAAACGCAGCGCGTTGGATGCGCTCAGCACTGGGACTCTATTTGCTGCTTCTTTTTTTCTTTCTTTTCTCCCCCTTAATTTCCTGGAGCTCTTTGTTTTGGTTGGTGGGCAGCTTTTTTCTTTCTTGCTGAGCCCAGCATTCAGAGGCAGGCATAGGATACTAGGGCTGTGCTCAGTAGCAGCCTCGGAATTAAGCATCGTCATTTATATTTAAGTAGGCTTAACTTCTGAATTATTGAAGCCGTAAGCTTTCAGTAAGTCCTGCTCTGCGTGGCTTTGTGTTTTTGGTTTTTGATGTGAGAAAGGACTTCCTTCTGCTAAATTGGTGTAACACAATACACAATTTTTTCTCAATATATCTAAGAAGGTATCTGGTATCATTTCCTCAGTACCACTCAAAGACAGCGGATGAAATTCGAGCCCGCGTTTGAGTTTTGTTTCTCTTGAGGGGTCCAACAGGAGAAGCTCTGGGCACAGGGCTGCTGCTTTCCCTAGAGCAGGGCGGTCTGGGGGACTGTGTGTGTCACTGGGACCGGTGCTGCGTTTGGGACCAGTGTAGGGCTTGTGTCTGCTGGTGCCGCCCATACTGAGCTTCCTTTGGGGGATTTGAGAGCCAGGTTCATGCCCCCACTCCACCCTGCCACCCCCAGCACAGGGAGCTGGAAATGCTTCACTGGTCGGATGGCTCTTTGCCTTGTTACTTGTCATGCACATTGCGAGCTCCTGCTCTCGTTAGGAGTGGATGGTGGCAGAGTATCCGAAGTTGCAGCCTGGGTCCCTGCCTCTCTTTGCTCGATCCCAGTTTTGGCTGCTGCACCCCTGTGCAGGCAGTGCAGAGCAGCCCAGCAGAGAGCTGCAACACCTTTCCCCCCACGCGTGCGTACATGAGAAAGCCTCCTGCCTTTCTTTCCCTCTGCCTGAGCTTTTCTCCCTGTGATTTCTTGCTCTGCAGAACCCCATTTCACAGCACACACAGTGCTGAGCATTGACCCCCTGCAGCCCAAACCTGGGGCTCGCAGCCCCATCTCCTCCCATCCCACTTTCCAACAGGAACACCTTTGTGTGTAACGCTGGGGCAGCAAAGCCGTGCGGGGACCTTGTGCTGGTTCTGATGGCAGTGTGACGTGGGGCAGTGGCTATCACACAAAGCTGTTGCCAGTGCTGGTGTGGCCCCAAAGCCACGCACTGCCCCAGCGGTTCCATTCCAGAGCCAGCAGCAGATCTGGGGCAGAAGATGCTTCTCCTGTGTCCCCTTCCCCCACCATCATTTCCTCGTGCTTTGCGCTCCTGGGCTTCTGACCCCGGATATTGTCCTTTTATTTGATCTAACAGAACAATGCCGGAGCCCCCCTCTGCAGATGAAGAATTCCCACTGAAATCAGCTGAATAGTGCTGGGCAGAAACACGAACGGTCTGCTCAAAATTACTTTGAAATCACAAACTTATTTGAACTTTACTGGAGCTTTTAGTTTTACAGAGTTTAGAAACTAATAAATTATGGAGCGGGGCTCATGAAAACCTACCCGAGCTTGGTTTATCCAAAAGAATATGCAACATTTTGGTTTTGCAAGAAAATAAAAATAATTGTTTGCACGTGTTCAGGAGCCATTGGCAAGCACATAAAACCAATGGTTTAAGGAGGCAAACATGTCAATAATCGCGCTTTAAGAGAAGAGGGAGGCACGTTGGCAAAGCGCACAGCGTGCTGCTCTGCCTTGCTTCTGCATCAAGAGGAGCCCGCTCACTCATCAGCCAGCGTGCTCCTGTGCTGGTAACTTAAAGCCAGAGTGGAGGATTTGCTGCCTTTCTGGCTTTTTGCATGTGGGGGATGTTTCTGTATGAGGAACTTTGCTGCTGGAACCTGAGAGTGCACAAAACAGGAGAGAAGTGGTTGGGTTTCACTCTGCTTTTGGACCTGCTGCGGTGCTCAGCTGTGCATTGAGATGACTGAGGTGGTGTTTCCCTCCATCCCAAATTTCAGAGCTGTGGGGTGGGAGGTGATGGAGCAGAGGAGGAGGGAAGCGAAAGGAGGGAGGGGGGAATGGGGTGCTTCCTGAGAACGCGCTGTGGTGAGGACTTTCAAAGTGTTTAACACGTGCAGAAAGCTCTGTGCCTCCAGAAGGACCTTGCCTCTCCCTGTGCATTGCATGCTCCTGCCCACCAGCACTGCACACAAATTTCAGGGCGATGCGATGGGACCCGGTGATGTCGGGGTGCCTGTGGCCATGCTGAGCCCAGCTGCTCATTCATCCTTTCTCTCCCTGGTCATTCTGTGTTTGTATGAGAGGTGAGATCAGGTTGGGGCTGCTGACCACGTGGGGAACGGATAACAGCATGGGGCTGCTGTGTGCTCGGGGTTCCTTCCTGTGGGTAGAGCTGTTAGCATGAAAAGGGTCTTCGCCCTTTCCAGCTCCACTGCCAGGCTGTGCCCTTTCTTTAGGGCTCATGGAGCGTGTCCTGGAAGGGCCCTTTGTGCTGGGAATGCTTCCTGCCTCCACTCTGTGCTTAACAAGCAGCCTCCTGGGATTGGCCCGATCTGGTCTCAAACATCTGAAAATTATTTGGAGCCGTTTCTGTGCCTCTCTGAGTGGGGTTTGCCTTCCCTGGATGAAACCCAGGGCGGAGATGCTGGCTGCGTGGCTGAACTTGGCATCAGGTAGCCAAGATCTCCTGTTATCCCCGCAGAGCCTCCTGCAGTCCCATAGCAAGTGGGTACCTGATGGAGAAATCACTTTGCGTAGCCTCTGTCCAAAAGGAAAGGGAATAAAAAATTCTGAGCTAGTAAACTTTACTGCCAGCAAGACATGGGGCATGCTGCAGCCTATTCTCCTCTTCTTTGCATGTAAATTTTTTCTGGATGCCCTAAAGAGCCAATTTGCACTTTACTGCAGTGTAGTGCTTTTCTCGTTAGTGTCTGGGTCAGCCTGGAGGAGATTTAAGGGGCACCAGCTGGGTTTTTAGGTTGCCAATTTCATCAGCTGAAACCTGTTTTAATCTGCAGGAGAACGCCTTTCAGCTGTGGAGAGCTGCTCCCTCCACCTTTTTGCATTTGCAGGAGTGCTTAAAAATAAAAGCACCAACAGTAAGCAGGAGTTGTAGTGTGTTGGGCCATCCCAACCTGCCCTGCTCCCATGTGCTTTGTCCTAACACCAACCCACAGCCCCAGGTCTCTGCTCGTGAGTGGGGATGCTTTCTTTTGGCTGTATTGAAGCAGGACCAGAGCATAACTTTGGTGATGGCTGCTGGTGGGTCGCTGCTGGTTTACGCTGCGTTGCATTGGGAACAAACGCAGTAAATCAGGGGAGGGCACACGAGAGCTTTCTGCTCACACAAGGACGTGCTGCTGGGACAGGGCTGGGTGCAGGGCAGGTCTGTGCACCAGGGCAAATTGTAGGGTCGTGGAGTGGATGTGTTGGAAGGGACCTTAAAGATCGCCCAGTCCCACTGCAGTGGGCTGATTGCCCTCACCACGTTGGGTTGCCCAGGCCCCATCCGTGACCATGGGCAATGCGGGGATCCTGCCCCAGGATGTTGGGAGCTGGGCCTTTGGGATTGGCATTCCTGATAGGAATAGGAGGAATTTTTCACACAGAGGTGGTGAGGCACTGAACAGGTTGCCCAGAGAGGCTGTGGATGCTCCGTCCTGGAGGCATTCAAGGCCAGGCTGGATGTGGCCCTGGGCAGCCTGGTCTGCTGGTTGGCAGCCCTGCACATAGCAGGGGGTTGGAAGTGGATGAGCATTGTGGTCCTTTGCAACCCAGGCCATTCTATCACTCTATTCTATGGGATTGGCTTTCTCGGTGGGTTGCTGTACCTTTCCAAAGAACAGGACAGAAAGCCAACGCCACGTTTCCCAAATGGAAAAGGACAATACTGAGATATGAGCGAGTCCTTTTGAAGCTTTGAGCATGAATCACAGTGTCAAGTGAAAAATAATTAAACTTTTTTTTTTTTTTTAAATATACTTCAAAGTGTCTTTTAAGCTTCCCATTAATTCCAAGTTCTTTCTCTCAGCACTAAATAAATCGCTTGGTTCAAAAGCACAAGTGCTAATTGGTTTCTCTGAGTATGCCTGTCTGCTTGATCAATAGGGGAAGTAGTTTTTGTTAAATATTTGCACATATCGTCTCATATTGTGTAGCTCAGGGAGATGGTAAATGTTTCTCAAAAGCAGACTTGTAGGGTGAGGGTTCCAATAATTTTCTCGTGGCCTTTATGTCAGAGCTGGTAAGGCTTCCTCCCTTCATCCTTCTGTAGGAGAGAAGGAGGTTGCCCAGCAAAGGGCTGGGGCTCTGATGGGTGATCTCCTCACCTCCAGCCCCGTGCCTGCTTGCAGGAGAGGCACTGCAGAGCATAATGCTGCAGGGCTGGGGCCTGGGATGCCGTGTGGGATGGGCAGGTTTGGTACTCAGCCCATGGCTGGGGCTTTTAGACTCTATAGGGAACGCATATGACCTCAGCGATTTCCTCTCTCACAATTAGTCGCACTTTTGCTGTTTCCATGCATGTTCAGAGCATCATTTGCTTCCTTTCCATCATTTCTGTGCCTCGCTGCTGCCTGGTCAGATATTGCTGCTAATGGAGCTGCTGCCCCTCGTCCCCAGTACCTCATCCTGCTGCCTTCACCTCTTATCCCAGGTCTGGGGGCTGCTTTGAGGACTTGTGTCCCACAGTGCCCATTTGGAAGGCCAGACCTCAGCCTCATCTGTTCAGAGCCCAGTTCTTGAAATCCATGCTATTTGTGAGTAATCCCACTGAGTGGAAATTCCCACTGTGGTTACGGCCAAGTGGATGCAGGGAAATATTTCAAAGAGGACAAAACATGTAAGGTGCCCAGTTCCTACTGTGTCTTGTGCCCTGCTTTCTTCAGAGCAGCTGTGCAGCAGCCCAGAGGCCCTAGGCTGGGCAGTTTGTGGGCTGGTTTCTCGTGCTTGTTCCTTATGCTGTGCAGCACTGGATGGGGCAGCGTCCCAGAGCTTATATGGGGTGTTGGGGTGAAGGACGGAGCTTGGCTTTTCCCTTAATCCCATATTAGCACTTGTTATCTGTCTGATGTAAGGAGGGGCTGGGCTTCCCTCTCCTCATGCATCCCATCAGCTGGTTGCCTTGCCCTGAAGCTCAGGAAAGTAGCAGTGGGATTTCTTCAAGGACAGAAAAGCATCCCAGGAGCCAGAATTTGGGGTGCTGTCAGGCATCTATAGGGAACAAAGCAGTCGATGTCCTGTGTCACCCCTGGAGGCACAGTCCCAAGGAGACCCCAGGAGCAGCCAGCAGCCGTCCCTGCCCCACTTTGTGTCCCACCAGTCCTAATTGTGAGTGCCCTCACTGCTGCTGCTCGAGCAGCCCGTGGTTTGGATGCAGACCGAATGTTTATGGAGGTAAACATGATTATCTCCAATCACACGCCTTAATGATGGTTATTATAATGACAGCTATTGTGGGAAGGGCATGTAATTATGTTGATTCTTCCTTACTTCCTTTATTGTACGTATAATAATAAGCTGTTTTATCTGAGAATACAGGGGAGCTGGGGGAAGATGGGGCTTTTAATTCATTAGGATTTGTGTTGGTTGTTTTCTTTTGGTTGTCTTTTAGGTTAAATCCTAAATTCCTGGTCAGTCTGTAGAGAGCCAGAAGCTCAGAGGGGAGGCAGGAGGGGGTCCCTATCCTGCATAACATGGAGTGGGGCCCCAGCATGGTTGGTGCTGATGAGGCTCTGTCCACTTTGCAGAAAAATGCAGAGCATTCATCTCAATTCCTTAATTTTCATAAAGTAATTGATGGCTTTGTGCTGGCTGCAGTGTAACTTGCAGAGAGGACCCCAAGGCTATCTCGTAAAGAGAGCAGTCACGGCGAGCGATAGATCACTGAGATGGCTGGGGCTAGCCTGACGTTTTAAGACTTAATGGGTTAATAAAGTGTGTGCTTTAGGTGTCTGTCACTAAGTAGAGTTTGTCCATTCCCTGCACACACTCATACCTTGACAGCAGTACCTTTGACCTGCCTGCACTACCCCGGCCTTCTTTGTCTGCTCCGTCCATCTGCCTTGGCTCAGGTTGCACTCAATGTTTATCCCCCGTAATCCAATTTAAGTTGCTGTAGAAAGCAATGGGGATTTGCAGAAAGAAAGAAAAAAATCTCCTGGGTTTGCAGAGCAAAAAAAAAAAGGCAGGCATTTTTTCTTTTTTTCTTTTTTTTTTCCTCCCTTCTTTTAGGATGGCTCTCTCGTACTCCTCCCATGCATTAACGATCTGTTCTCCACCCAGTTGGACCTTTCTCGTGGTGGGATCCTGGCCGTGCTGGGGTCTGCCAGAGGCAGGCATCCCAAAGACCGTTCTGTGGCTTCTGTCTGCTGGGAGATGTTGGCCACATGCATCCCAGTTCTGCAGGAAGCCGTGGCATTGGGCCCCAGGAGAAGGGGGAAGCTGGGTGTCAGGGCAGAGCTGTGGGAGCTGCACCAAAAGTACGGCCAGAATGGTTTTCCCTGTGCTTGGAAATACCAGTTTTCTTGCTCTTCTGGAATTTCTTCATTGCTCTTCCCTTAAAAAAAAATTTAAAAAATTGCCTCCATCACTGTGTTTACACCCTTCAAATATTTATATGACTCCTGTTTCTTGGTCTTTCATGTCAGTGTGTGTTTTGGGCTAACCTTTAAACAACAGCTCTATTTCTGTCGTCTTCTGTGGTGCCTAATCATGGTTGTATGGCAAATTACACCCTAAAAAGGGGTGCTGGACCAAATGAAGCATAGCAGGCCAAAGACATAGGGTTTAAACGTTCAGTTGGCAAAAGAAGTAAAGGAGTGTGTATCTGTGCGATGGGAAGGGGGGGTTTGCCTGTTGTCGGGACAAATTCTGCAGTAACTTATCTCAGCCTTGGAGGGCTGCATCTGTGGATGTGCCTTTGGAAACCGAACCTGGGACTTTGAGGGCAAAGCCTTTGGATGCAAAGCACGCCCAAAGGTTGCTTATTTTTCTGGAATGTGAATGGCCTGTTAGCTGCCTTAGTGTTGACTGTCGCTTCATCTTGTTGCTGATGTGTTGCCCTTCTCTCTCCTCGCTTTTCAGATTTCGGTCACTCCTCTGAGCTGGCGTTCGTTGTGGAGCCCAGCGATGACATAGCGGTGCAGGAGCAGCCCCTGATCCTCTACTGCCAGGTGGAAGGCATCCAGCCCATCACCATCACGTGGCGCAAGAACGGCGCCCTGATCGTGGACAGCGAGAACGCCTTCATGTTGGCCAACGGCTCGCTGTACGTCTCCCGCTTCCAGAGGGTGAGGGGAGACGGCTCCTCCGACGAGGGCGAGTACGACTGCATGGCACAGAACCATTATGGGCTGGTGGTGAGCCGGAAGGCGAAGATCCAGGCAGCGAGTAAGTAGAGGCTTTGCCCTGCCTGCACCTCGTGCTGTGGTTCTGCTGTGGGCTCTGGTTTTGCTGGGAAGCGTGGTGTGACGGTGATAGGACAAGGAGAAATGATTTTAAAATGAAAGAACAGAGATTTAGGCTAGGTGTCAGGTGGAAATTCTTTACTCAGAGGGTGGTGAGGCCCTGGCACTGCTGCCCGGAGAGCTGTGTGTGCCCCATGCCTGGAGGTGCTCAAGGCAGGGGTGAATGGGGCCCTGAGCTGGTGGGGGCAGCCAGCCCACGGCAGGGAGATTGAAACCAGGGTCAGCTTTGCAGCTTGATGGACTCTGCTTGGCAGGCAGTACTTCCCAAACCAGAGACGAAGACCTTCAGAAGGTCATGGTTCCTCTCATTTTGTTATTTAAGACAGGCAGTGTGGAGGCAGCAAGGTCTTATTTACTATCAAGCGTGGCAGTGCCTTTGGGGGCAAGGCTAACAACACCAGACAGATAGTCTGGTGGGTGAGCCTGGAGGAGGAGAGAGATGAAAATGTCAGCAAGGGAATGAAATTTAAAGGTGGGGGAGGAAGAATTACAGGGCTGGCTGCAACTCCAGCCCATTGCATCTGGAAATGCTGCAGTGGCTGTGCTCCTCTTGGGGTGTCTGCTGTTGGACTGGATGATCCAGCAGGTTGTTTCCAACCTTGTGATTCTGTGATTCTGGTGACTTTCCCCCTTTGCCAGCTCTGGTTGTGGATCTGTCCTGAGACTGAAGCAGAGCTCAGGAGCTGTTCGCTGTGGCTTCTGTCCTTGTGTAGATGGCTTTGCTCTCAGACTGCTGCTTATCCTTTTTGCTTGTAATGAGAAGTTGCTGCTAAGTATAATTTCTGTAAAGCTGGGAACATGGGCATCCAGTAAGATCCTGAGACCTGGCCAAATGCTGATCTGTTAGATTAAGTGTTATTGAACTGTCTTCCAGCTTGTTTGCAAGGTGGCTACCGCTATTCCTAGCGTGCAATCCCCTTACTACTTCTTCCATTGTATATGCAAGCTACCCCATGCTTTCTTGGTGCAAAGCAGAAAAGTCTATGGCAAAGTATGGGGCCAGACCCAGGGTCCCCTGGTGGCAGTCCCCTGCCTGGGGGGCCCTTTGAAGCTCTGCGTCCCGCTCCCCGCTGCGCTGGGGTCCGCTGGCAGCCCACCAAGGGAACACTTCAGCCCTTGTGTATAACAATTCCCAAGTGCATGAAGTGGCCATCTGCAAACCTAGCTTTTCAGTAGTGTAAGAAATGACATTGTCCAGGAGCCAAGGGCTTTGGGTCCGTGCCAGATTAGCAGCTGGATCTAAAACTTGTCAGTCTTGCAGTGCTAAACCTCAGAGCGCTTTTGTGAATGGCTCTGGCATTTATGAGCTGGGAGCTGGCTGACGTGCAAGAACAGTGTCAGACTTCTCAGACCTGTAAACAGGAGACATGAGAGCCAGAGGAATTACCTTTGGGATAGCAGATTGTCAATAAACACTGTTATCTTGGCTGTGGCATCAATATGTATGTGATGTGCTGTGTGTCCCCGAATAGCATTTCCTTTTGTAGCCATCTTCGTGTGAATCAAAACAAAAAAGGGATTACGCTGAAGATGCTCAGAAGTCCATTCTGTCTTCAGGCTCTGAGAAAACGTCTGGGTGAGGCCAGCACAGAGTGGTAGGGCACCTGGCCTCGATGCCACAGCTTCTGCTGATAACAGGAGTGACTGGGGAAAACTGTGGGCAGGTGTAACCTGCTGCCCTACTCAGCTCCTGGTGTGATGGATGGCAGCACAGGGCTCGCTTCTACCTCCTGAGAGCAGATCTCAGCTGTCCCCTCCAGCCTCTGTATCTCAGGGTGGTTACCTGTGGGTAACAGCGATCTTCCATGCTCCAGATAATCAAATCAAACAAAGGGTTGTCAGCTGCATCTTAGGGGAGCACCGCATTGAAGCCATGGGTGCTGGCTGCCTGGAAGAAAAAAGCTGAGCAGCCCTGTGCAGAGCAAAGTAAACACTGCCAGCGAGTAAAACCTCATCCCAGCGCTGATCTCTTCCCTCTGAGCCTGACATCTGAGCACAAAAGCAAAGGAGAAACAGAAACCTTTTGCAAACAGAAATCTTGAAAGTTGATCAAGGCCGTGCTACTGAGGAATAAAAGGGATCTGACAGAGCAGAGCCCCTCGAGAGCTCTGCTGCACTTTCTGCTGTCTTCAAAGGCACGCTGTTAGTCTCATATCACCGTTACAGACCCCGGCTTTGTATTATTGCTTGGAATATAATCTTCTTGGCTCGGAGGAATGTACATATTTGCATTCAGGAAATGTGGGTTGGAGATCATATTTTTATGTTTCAAATGTACTCTGACAGTTGGCATGAAGCAAAGTTTAAGTGGAAGAATATGGGGCTCGCAGCCGCGGCGCGTGCGGCTCTGCTGGCGCTGGGAGGGCAGGTATACCCTGGCAAAGAGACCACAGCTTTGGCACAGGCTGTAAACCACCGAGGTGCTGCAGTTTGTAACTCTGCCACGGTGATAGGTGTGTGTAGAAGTGGGAAACGGGGCAGCCTGTGTTGTCAGTCCCATCCGCCCCAGATCTTATTACTCCCCTGCCTCAGTTTCCCCATGGAGCGAACACGTCTTAAAACCTTCCTCCTCCAAATGGGCTGATGAAATTGCCTGAAGTCTTTGGGAATTTCTGTATTTTGCCCCTAATAAGCAAAGATACGGAGCGGAGGGAAGCAGATCTTGTCTGTTCTGTGGGTTGGCAAGTTGTGTGTGAAGCACGTTGCTCATATTTTTGTGCTGTCACCTCCTTTTGAATGACTGTGCAAGCAGTGCACACGTGGCTGAGGCAGGCAGGAACCTCGGCATTCCCACCCTCTGCCTGGCACACTGCTTTGAGTGCCCTTGGTTGGCATCTCTGCTCCTGTTCAGAGCCTGGTGTGGAGGTTGAAGAGGTGGAATGCAGCGTGTTTTTATGATCTGATCAGCTTATTGAATACAGATCTTTTCCCTAATGACAGTTTCATGATTTCTCATGACTCGGTGCTGTTTTAATTAATATCAGTTTGATGTTTTCCTGAGGCAGCAGTGTCCAGGAGAGCCCAGCTGTGGGTGAAGACACCCCCTGAGCTCTGGACCCACTCCTTTGGAAGCTCTCTGACCCGCAGCCACCTGTGGCTCTCTTACAGCTCTGCCTATTGATTCCACTTTTCTTCTCACTGCTGCCCTTTGCTCAGCTCAGCCTTCCTCATGTTGTCTCGTGGCATTTCCAGCCCTTTTGCCAATGCTGTAATTTGATGGAGCTGGCTCTGCATCATCATAAATCACAGGCCGGCCAGTGAAGTAAGACCCATTGATTATATCACTCAATAACAAGCAGTTACCACTAATTGGAAATCACCATCTAACTGGGTATTGGTTCAGGCTCTGCACGCATCCAGCCTGAGAGTAGCAATTTTCACTGTTTGATCTGGTGCTATTAAAAAAAGATTAGAAAAGAGAAAGTAAGTCAATCGTGCAACTTGGATCCAGAGACATTTCTTGAAGCTTGTTGAAACGGGCCCAGTGTGTGACAGCTTGGGTGTGAGAGCAGCTCTGGACAGACCTGGGCTGGCAGTGCCACACTCCTCCTTTGCCTTGCCATCGGGGACCGCTCATCACCTATCTTAGCACCCTGCATCCCCTGTGCCCACAGGGCTCCCTTACCCCTTCCCTTCTGCATCTAGCCCTGTATCACAGAATCACAGAATTGTAGGGGTTGGAAGGGACCTCCAGAGATCATCGAGTCCAACCCCATTCCTCCATCCCCCTGGTCATTCTCAGCCTATCTTGGGGTCACCTGCTCTCCCCACAGACTCCCAGGCCGAGGGTCTGGAGGCCGTTTACAAAATATAAAGAGAGGGAGGTCTGCTGAATATGCATGCTCACGAGTTGTTTTCCCTGCTAAGCTGCTGCTGAGGGGAGGAGGTTGCGAGTTGTGGGGTTTTCCAAGCAGCCCACTTCTTCCCATGGGTTCAGCTCCTCTGCGCGGAATACATTCAGGGTTTAACCTGCAGCCCCTTTTCCAGGCTCTGGGGTGGTGGGAAGAGCTGCTGAGCCCAAATAATGGCAGCATTTATAAGAGTGTAGAGACAAGAAGGAAGTCTAAAAGGATTAGAGAGAGACAAAGGGGGCTGATTATTTTATGGGTCACAATACAAGGCATTAGAGCGAGATCACAAAGGGATGTAATTACAAAAGAAGGCCATACTGGGGGGATCAAACCAGGCTTAGAGTGGGAAATGTTTTTACACAGTTTTGTTCCACTCATTATAAAGTTAGCATTTAAAATTAAGGTTTATATAAGGTGGCACCAAATTTGTCACCAGCGTATTTCCTGGGCAGTGCCACTGTGGGATGCAGGCTGAGTCTGGGAAGTGAGACCTTAAACACATGGGTTTGCTATGGGATTTTCTGTGCCTTCCGTGTGAGCGGAGCCCTGCCTGTCACCTGTGCTTGCACCGTGCGAGGCTGTTCTCACTGCTGGGATGGGATGCTGATGTGGTGGTCTGTTCTGGGGTGTGAGACACGTGCTGGTGGGAAAGAATGTGTCCTGGTGTCACACTGCTGCTTTGTAGATACAGTTGTGCTCCTCCCAGCAACTTCTGGCTGTTGTTCACTTGCAGTTTATCACAGTTTAACATCCACTCCTGCATACCAGGCTTCCTGCGCTCACAAACGCAGTTGTGTTTGCATTTATTGCTCTTTCTTATCTGGTACTGAATATTGAGTTTGAGCAGAAGGGCTTCATGTTGATACCTGCTGTGCTTCTCTGGCTGGTCATAGAGTCATAGGATGGCCTGGGTTGAAAAGGACCACAATGATCATCCTGCTATGTGCAGGGCTGCCAACCAGCAGACCAGGCTGCACTGAGCCACATCCAGCCTGGCCTTGATTGCCTCCAGGGATGGGGCATCCACAGCCTCCTTGGGCAGCCTGTTCCAGTGCTTTACCACCTCTGTGTG